TACCTGCCAACATACTACAATTTTATATCCTCGAAGCCATGGAGATTGCGCGAATTGCAATATTCGATGAATCTTTGTAACCTGCAACCCGTGTCGAATACATTGCTGCAGGTTACGGTAGTGAATGACGTATCGCTGCTTATCGCACAGCGTAGCGAGTAACTTGACCTCCCGCTTGCCGGGTGGCTTATCGCGCGTTGGGCAGAACGGTAAGTCAGTGTGCGCGTGAAGATTCATCGGATACGGAAGGTCGACTTCCAACACATAACCGGTAGCCGAATCGGATGTTACGAACATTACATCAAAGTTTTCGACATTTTCGACCCACTGAAAATCGGCATAGGGCAACGGTTGACACATTGCCCAGCCGTACAAGTTGTTTACATCAAAGTACATGAGGTACGATGATGGTTTCAATGGATCGTACGATGACATGTATTTATTATTTGCGCGAGCGTATCTGTTGGAGCATTGGCTGAGACCGCCGCGTATACCGCGTTCAACGAACATGACCATATCGATGTCTGTGAGTAATTCAAACTTGATGCCCGTGTGCTTCAACATGGCGCCCCACGTATATCCCGGTAATGTGTAATACTGAGCGGGATTTAAACCGTAACTTTTGATACACGTGTTTCGGAAATTTTGAAAAATATCCGCCAACAAAAAAACATCCGTTTTTAAATACAAATCGCTGTACTGTTCAAGAGTTTCGATCAAAAAAGTTTGCCAGACGTTTGTCGCCTGCACGTAATCACTCTCGGATACCGTTTCACCAGTCAACGAACTGTAAGATGATTCGCGCGGAGGTAGGCAAGTCTCCCGGAGCTTGTCGACGCTGTCGACGTACTCGTAGGGAAACACACCTTTCCGAGTAAGCAAATTGAAATGTTCCGCGGATAAATGATTGAATTCCGATCGTGAAATTTTTAATTCATCTATTGTCAGATAAGATGCCAATTTTTCCAGACTGGTGCCGAGAAATCTAAACGAATCTATAAAACATAATTTCACGCAAATTTTGGAATTTTCATCCTCCGTATCTTTAACGTTTTTAGTAAAAGAAATGTATCGCTCTTTTGTCAGCGGTAGTAAATCAATGTTGCCTTCAAAGGCGTTAGCGACATCTTTGATTATAAAATGCGCGTCGTAACCGGATAAATTGTGAAATATCACCGGGATAACGTGGGAGTCTTTGTAATTTAAATTGCACGACGAGTGCGCGGCACCGCGGTAACGTCCGGTAAGATGACAATGATCGCGCACCCGCGTATCTTCCGGTGCGAACGGTTTTTCACACACGTGACAATTTACGGCGCTACGGAATTCCTCCGATTCCTCCCGCGTAAGATCCGCCATGAGGACGACGGTGGTAAGGATCGCTTTCACACGGCGCGCCAAATCGTGGAGTTTATTGACGAACCATGTTATGCAATCCTCACCGCAATAAGACTTAAAACTAGATAATGAGTTATCGTAAGCGCAACTTACATAATATCCTACGCTAAACGCCTTGTGATGTTGGTAGGCGTATGTGGTATGGTTTTGTCCCTCCTCTTTCTCCAGCGTGCATTCCAAATCGGCGTACACTACGAACGGGAGCCGCTCCTTCCGGTTGTAGTTGCGGAACGTCAGCCACTTGTTGTCTTTGTTGGGAAGAATGACGGCGCAGTCGTTCATCTTCCGGCAGTTGACGCTATGGACTGACAACTTCTCCCGTGTATAAAAGTAATGTAGTGCGACGACTTTTCCGTCGGGCAGAAGTAGACCCGCCGGTAAGCGTATCAAACCTCGTTGCTTTATTTACTGGATGTTAACAATTTCGACAATTCTTATGATTGGGCGCCAGGCGCGGATTAACGCGCCGCACGAACAAATTACATCAAAACAATATTTTATTTGTTTGAAAGCAACGGCGATAAGCGTGACTAGCCCACTCTACAACTGGCAGAGGGGCGAGGTTCTTTAGAGAAGCTCAAGACTGATTTGGGAGAGGGGAGTCTGAAAGAAGTTGATTATTAAGAACACATTTATTTGATAACAAGTAACATTTAATCCTTGTAATTAGGTTAAATAAGGTTGACGCCGGTTGATAGGCGCCTTAACAGTCCCGCGAAGGGGAGACATTCTTTTATCTCTGTGAGAGGCTTTAGGATTTGGCTGTTCGACTCGCGGAAATCCGCGTACTCTCGTCTCACACGGTATAATATTCGGCGTGCAAGCTCGATCACTCTCATTAAATACAGTTGTTACGATTAACTCGACTTTAACCTTTCTCTTTAACGGTTAGCCTACAATACGAGTTCTGTCTCAATATTATTCTCACGGTTCGGATAGTAAACGCTCGACAGAAGGCCGAGGCGAGAAATACGCGATAGGCTAACTTCAAGATTTTAACGCTCGGTACAGCAATACATAAATCGACGCGAAATGGTTACTCACAAAAAGACATTATTCCATATAAAACGACTGTCGGCTCGGCAGCCCCGAGGGGAAAGAAGGCATGGCGAAAATCTTAATCTACAGAAGCGGTAGTCAGCGGGGCCCGGCCAAAATCTAACCTCACATGATAGCGCGAGGCATCTCGAGATAAGCTATATTCGTTACGCAAAATATGCGGGTTCTTAAGTCCGCGAGGCTCGGGCCGCCTGCTGATACCGCTCTTACCGCGAAGTCGAAGTGGTGGCCTTACAAATCGCTGGTACGCCCGTAGTGGTCCTCGAGGTTCCGCCTAGGTTGCCGACTCGCCGAACAGTGACGACAGCGAGGCTCGCCGGACAGCGGTGACATTCCGCGCATCGTCCTGCGCATGTAGATCCGCGCTATCGATTAGCGCTACTTGATCCTTCGATATATCTAGCGATCTCGATCCTCGCGTCGCTCCTCGATATTTCGGCCCTCGGTGACGCTTTTCCGAGGTGACCCCGGTCTCTCTCTTTTGGCAGCTGCCGTTAACGCCCTTCGTGGCCTTCTTCGTTTCCGGATTCGAACCTTCTTTGAATCGGTAGGGAACTGGCCAAGTTCCGACCAGATTCTTCTTTCCTGGCTCATTACAACAGCTCCTTGTTCGGGTACTCCACCCCGGGTCTTCGGCGTGTGAGAGCGCGCTTCCCTCTCGGGCGTCATCTCTCTCGGTGCGTTCACCGGCCTCGATATGCTCCGTATCTGAAATCGTAACTGCGGTAGCGACTGTGTCTGGAATCTAATGATATTTGCAAGGGTGTTTTTACTTGCCCTTATCCTGGATCCGTCTGCACGCCGTCCGGGCCTCCGTCGTCCTGCCTGCTGAGTCCCTCGTAGGTCCCACGAAGGCTGCTCCACGGTAATTCACAATATGGGAGTTTGGCCACTCACCACGACTCGCTTAATTCGCTACAACGCAAAATCTAAAATCTCCAAAAGAGAATTAAGAGGGAGAGGTCGTTGCCCCCCCCGCGGTGGGGTTTCCGACCTCAAATTTCCCTTCTCGATCGGGCTTTCTCGCCCTTGTGACGGACTTTAAAAATGTCACGTCACAGTAGACACCTGTAATAATTTGTATGATTAAAACTGCGAATAAAGTTTCGAATTATTCTATAAATGTGTTTTTACTCACCGATCACAAATGTACTTTTTATGTGTGTGCTTGCTCAATTGCGAGCTCACTAGCCGAGACAGATCCTTGATGCACACAAAATGTGCCTCGTTGTTTCCAGGCACATAGAGAAGGTTGACACGCTTCTCCATCTTGTCGTTAGCGAGGCGTAAAGGGATGATTTTAGAGTCTTCGGTGGTAAAGACGTTGACGGAGATGGTGTTCAGTTTCTCGAATTTTGATATTTGCGGAAGCGTCATGGGGAACTCGATATCGCACAGATTCAGCACCGTTGAATAGTGCGGGTACTGCGATACTCTTTTCGGGGTACTTTTCCGCTGGATGTAAAGCGGCGACGACTGCCCACGCGAAACATGCATTGTCCGTTGATTGCACGTTGACCACCGCCCTTTTTAGTATAATTTTTCGCGGTAACTGAATGTGGCATCCCGCGCGTAGAGGATTGAATTTGTTGACGTTGATGCTGAGATCCAAGATACGTGACAATGCCCATCCGCTGTCGCGTTCTTGAAACTCTTCCAAAGACGCCAGGATGATGTCAACCACATGCTTCGTGTACCACTCTTGTAAATCAGATACTGGAAAGAGCTCGCGGTTCTTGGTTGCGATAGTCTTTACGGCAGTCTTGTCACCCGCGATAAATTCTCCGTTGAACGCGGTGTTGATTTTAACGCTGTTGTGTTCCACCATGACGCTTTGGATCCGCTTGATGATTGTATTTCTTATCTCTTCCAAAAATTCGCGTGGATCGATGTAGTCGGAATTGATAACCGCACCGGTTAGTATTCGATTCCTGAAGGCTGTCTCGATTTCTTTCCAGGTGAATCTTCTCTGGGTTCCGTATCCACCGCCGGTGGGTAGAAAACGCTCTTGAATGATCTTCCTCACACCCTCCAAACGCACTATTTGTGCCACCAGAGAGTGAATTACTCCGGTTTGTTGCTTCTTGCAACATTTTTCCCTCAGAGAATCGAGGTACTCGTCGCATTCGTAGTCCCATGGGAGGAACTCTCCCAACGTTTTGATATTCGCTGCTCGTACGGTAAGATCGCGCTTTTTCTTCATTGCGAATGACTTTCAAGATTCATATTTTTTTTCACTTGCTTTATATACCCGCTTGTTGCACACGACACTAATTAAAAATAGCGATAATGTCACACAAAATTGAAATCTGGCAACATGGCGCTGCCTAAAATTTGTATAAACAATCCTTATCACCCCCTCCATTGTCTGTTCTAAAAATAGCGATAATGTAATTTAAACAGGCGCTCTACTTTGATGTGTAGAAAAAACCTGCACGTGCCTGCAAATCATTTTTGTATAAACAATTCTTATCTTTTCCAGGAATCCTCAATGACTCATGTTTGTATAAACAATCCTTATCTTTTCCAGGAATCCTTATCCCTCAATGACTCATGTTTGTATAAACAATCCTTATCTTATCTTTTCCAGGAATCCTTATCTCTTCCGGGAATTGATGTAATCTGATACCTTTTCCTCTCCCCCGCACCTCCCTCGTCACCCCCTCTACTCCAAAATTACCCCTCTCCTCCAAAACGATGACGTCATTACCCTCTCTCCTCCAAAATTACCCCCTTCCCCTCAAACTTTTCCCCTCTTTACTCGCACTCCTCTCATTGCCTCATGGGTTAGAACCGCCATAGCTATATTATTATTATATGCACGACTTAGCTGGGTTAATTGTTCTTCTAATCCCTGCATCGCCATGTCTCGTCGCTCGTATTCCGCCTGCAGGCGCTCTCGATCCTGCCTGCATTCCTCTGAAGCTGCTCCAGCTCCTGCAAGATTTCTCACAACGTTTCCGTCTCAGCAGACACCGCTGGGGTTTGTGAGTAGGGATGGGCGATATTCGATGCTTATTTAAATATCGATGATTTTTTTCCTGATAATCAATTATTTTTGTCGATGTTTCTGTAAAACAATTAATCGATTATCGATATTTTTTTACACAATATCGATGTTTCTTGTGTTTTTTCTGGGAGTCGATTGTGTATCATAAAATGAAGTAAAAATTACAAAAGTGAACAAATTTACTAAAATATCTATGATCTTATTGATCAACAACTAGTAAATTTATTCATTTTTGTAATTTTTACTTCATTTTATGATACACAACCGACTCCCCTGGACCCGTATTCTGTATGTAAACAGTTACCGCAGAGAAGTCTTCTCTCTGGTTACCGCAGCGACGTGCCTGTATCAGACTATGCATTGAAGATTGAGATTAAAGATTGAAGATTGGAAATTTGACCAATTCGGAAGAAGCAAACAAATATTGTTTCTTCTTGATTGGTCAACCTAATTGCCTAATTGAAAGTAGTTGAAAGTAGTTAAAAGTATTAGGAAGTAGTTTAGGGTAAAATTTAACGGTACCCAAAACGTTTCGGGAAAGTAAAGACCAAAACTAAAATTATTTGTTTCTTCTTGATTGGTCAAATTCCCAATCTTCAATCTTTAATCTCAATCTTCAATGCGTAGTTTGATACAAGTTTTATTACACAATGCCAGGCAACAGGCAATAGGAACAGGAAATAACATAGAAAAGAAAGAGAGAAAAGTTATTTCTCTCTCTTTTTTTTCTACATCATTCCCTATTGGGGCTTAGGGCCATTTGCACCAACACCTATTAATTTAATCGGCGATTACAGGGTTGTCAACTTAAGAACGTAATTCAATGAGAACATAATTCTAGCTATTTGAAAAAATTGTTGGCTTAATTCAGTGTTCCAATTAGGGACCGGTTTGTTTGCGCATGTGCGGCCATACGGTGTCAATGAAGTGTCTCGTACATATAAAAAGAGACCCCGTTACCCAGCTTCATTTAAAGTAATAAAAATTTTTTTAATGTATTAAAAAATAAAATATATATACATATATATATATATGTACAAAAATACATTATATATATATAATTTAATTATTTTATAAATTTTAATTATAATAAATAAAAAAGCCTTACCTTATTTCTATTTTCCTAACCTCATCCTGTCAAAAGTCCTGCGTAAAGTCCTGCACACGACGTGTGTCGGCACTGCATTTCCATCGCCGCGCAAGCGCAAAGCCACATATACGCTAAGCAACCGGTCCCTAATCGGAACACTGGCTTAATTAACAATATTACACGACAAAGTATGTAACGAAAAATTATGGTTAAGTACACCAGAAGTACAATTGGTCACTGAATTATGTTCTTAAGTTGGCAATCCTGTAATCGCCGATTAAGTTAATCAGCGTTGGTGCAAGTGGCCCTTAAATGTGCTTACTGGCTAAATTGGTTAAGTTATACTATTCGATTGTATTCGATATAAGATTATCAGTTAGATTAAGTTCATCTAACCAAATAAATAATAAATTATTTAAAAATAAAGTTCTCAATTTTAAGGACGATGCAAAACAATAACGCCACGTAAGATATGATGTTCATATGATATTCAGTTTTATATTGCATTGATTTGTAACCTCTAATTAATTTTTTTTTTTTGAGAGTTTAATAATGCCGTTTAATGTGCCGTTTGAGAGATAATAAGTTTTATCAACTGTAGGTCAAAAGAAGCGAGTAATGTATGGAACTTTTTTAAAAAAATTAATAATGTGGTAGCCCATTGTAATCTTTGTGATAAGAATTACAAACACGGAGGAAATACTACAAATTTACGACAACATTTGACACGGAAACATTTGATTTTTTACAACGTGTTGTTGTGTGTCGTAACACACAACGTGTCGCTATAAGGTTAATTAAGTTAAATACCAAAATAAAATATTAAGAAAGAATTATTTAGCAAATAAAGAATAACAATGAGGCTGCAGAGAAACAACCTCGGATTCAAGGTGACACGAATCAGCAATCCGAGAAATATCAACAATAACATATCAATAATATTACAAAACTCTTGATTGCCGATTCGTATAAATACAGTCGCGCGCAAGCAGCGACGGATTCAGTTTACGATACGCGAATACACCGACTCGTTTCCCCGTGTCCGTACACGGCTCACGAAAACCTAACACCGTCCTGGCAGTTTGTGAGTGATTAAATAAATTGTTCGAGTCAAGGTTTGCGTCCAGTTATTCCACACCTCTAAGCAGTGCGTCCTGTTCCCCAAGCGGATCTCGAACTTACGGTTGCGATCGGAAAGACTCGCAACAGTGTCTAACGAATCTAACGATGACCTTTCATCAGATACAAGTTCTTCTGTTAGCAATAAACGCCAGAAACTTGAATTTAAGGTAAGTCATCAATATGTGCATTTGTGTGTGAGGAGGGAGGTGTTTTTATGTGTCACGTACAAATGTACAAATTACAGGTGAAGCTCAGACAACCCAATCGTGATGTACAAATCGATATGGCATTTGAGAGAACCAATTCTTTTGGAGGTTAGTAAAATTTTAACTCGTACTTATGAACTATTAAGTTGCATTTTGAAATTTATTGCTAGTATTTTGACTTTTAATATTGACAGTGAATTTTGAAATGCGGTCTTAGTTACGCTAAAAATATAAAATCTAATGTTTTTGATTTTATGGTTTATGTAGACGGCGGTTTGATGGCTAATCGAATAACAAACGCAGTGCTATATATGATCGCTACTGATAATGCACCTTTATCAATAATTAAAAATGATGGCTTTAAGCTGTTAATGAAAACGGCGGTGCCATTATATAAACTACCGAGCAGAAAGACAATTACAAGACTAATGGCTGTTAAATATGAAATGCTCAAAGAGGATGTTAAGCTGCATCTTAAAGAACTTACGTCGTACACAATAACTTGTGACAACTGGACGGATGTAAGTAATTTAAGTTATATTGGAGTAACAATCCATTATGCAACGACCGATGGAATATTAAAAAATAGATGTCTGGCAGTTGAACCACTGCATGAAAATCACACAGCACAATATTTATCAGAAATTCTACTTTCTGTGCTTAACTCTTTTGGGTTGAACCCAGAGATTGCAACAGCAATTGTAACCGATAGCGCAGCAAATATAAAAAAAGCTGTGTACGAGTTGCTCGGTCGATCTAAGCACCTACCGTGCTTTGCTCATCTTCTTTCACATTTGGTTCCCGATGTGATGGCTGGTCGATGGGATAGTTCGATAAATGTAGACGATATTATTACTAAAGTGAGAAATATCGTCGTTTTAGTAAAAAGGAGTATCGTAGCTACCGACGAGTTAAAACGCTTACAAATCCGTGACGGAAAAACTGAAGCCACAGCTCTTAAATTTATCCAAGATGTTTCAACTCAATGGAACTCAACATTATACATGCTGGAGAGATTCCTCGTTCTCAAAGAATACGTTTATCTTGTAACATTAAAGTGCCGAAATATCCCAGAGATGTTAACACGTGACGAAATTCAATTATTGAAAAATCTCGTTTGCCTGCTCACACCAATTGAAAGAGTCATTAGAGAAATAAGCGGTGACACATATCCCACAACAAGTTTAATTATACCTATAATTCATTGCATGGAAGAAGCGATACACTCTTGGGAACCAAAAGAAGATGACAATGATAATGTGAAGAAAACAAGTATGGAATTCAAGGATAAACTTCTAAAGGCAAAAGAACACAGGTTTAAGGAACAAGAATTGAATTCAATTCTTGCTGTCTCAACTATATTAGATCTAAGATTTAAGAAACTACATTTCCAAAGCGCGCTGACGGCATCCTCTGCCATTACAAAAATTAACTCACTTTTGAAATTTGATGCAGCTTCTGAAATGTCCAATACAATTCCAAAAAAGCCTTTCAACAGTGAATCAAATATCTGGGAATACCGTGATAAAATGGTGACCAAGAATATGGATGCGAGCAACGACAAAGAAGGTCTCAACTTGGAATTGCGGCATTATCTTAATTAACCAGTCATTCCACGGTCTGAAAACCCTTTAAAATACTGGATATCTGTCAAATCAGCATATCCGTCATTGTATAAATTAGCTATAAAATATCTCAGTGTTGTCTCCACATCAGTTCCATCAGAGCGATTGTTTTCTAGAGCGGGTGCAATCAAAACAGAAAACCGCAGTAGAATTTCGGGTGAGCATTTAAATCAGTTGCTTTTTCTTGGGTGCCTCTCTCGTGAAGATTGGAGACTGGCTTAAGTAGGATTCTAAGACATTCTAAAATCTATATATAACTATAATTATATATTATTTTTACAAATGTTCCTTCTGTATTCCATTATCTTTTTACAAATTAAAATTGTCCCATCCAAATATTCCATCTACACTTTTCTTTATCCTCACCTTAATCATTTTTTTACTATTACAGATACAGTTTTTATATATGCATGATATTTTAATATTTATGCATAGAAACATATATGTGCTATATTTTAGAATGCTCTTATTTCTTATATACTTAATAAAAACTTTGAGTCCGATAAAGAATGCCAAGAATAAGAAAAGTTCTAAAATTGTTAGAAAATCTTTAAGTAAGATGTTTAGTATTTGTATTGTCAAAAAATATGATTAAGACATGAGTTTGCTTGACGGTAACATATATAAATATGTTACGTCAATTCTTATACGATATTTGTAGTTTGTGTTTTTAATTGGCAATTACTACTTGTTTAAAATTATGAGTAGAATTATGTGTCTTTTACTTTAATTTCTTACAGGTCGTACTATCGTTTCAGCCAAGACATGAAATGATGACAACATGTTTATTTCTTCAAGATCTACCACTAATTTTAATTTATGTAAAATATGAATAAAAGGCATGAATTCCATACACAAATGAGCATTTTATAATTTAACTTATTTTCTTGAAGCTATTTTAATATATTGGCTTAGTTTACACCGATTGTTTGATACGCGTACCAAGTACTAAATGTGCTTCTTTGATTGGTATAGATTTTACCCTAAATGATTTATACCAATGGTTGAAATAGGCTTAGTTTACACCGATTGTTTAGTACGCGTACCAAACGATTGGTGTGAACGTTGGCATAATGTTGTAATAACGTATGTTTTATATATATATATATATATATATATATATATATATATATATATATATATATATATATATATACAAAATAATTGATGTTTCAATGTTTTTAAAAATAGCATCGATGTTTATAATCGATTTTTTAGATAATCGATTTTTTCAACATCGATTTTTTTCTCGAACATCGCCCATCCCTATTTGTGAGCGCGTTCTTCTTGGCGTTGTTGCCATTTTAAAACAATTAATCACTGTCCGATCGTTCGTAAAGATCCCGGACAAGCCACCAAAAATATTGCGCCCGCGAACAATCTTTCCGACACGTTACAATTGGCACTCGCAAAAAAAATTAAATCAAGAACACTTTTTAAACACAACAGAAACTTTAATACACACAACACTGAACAGAACTTTACAGAACAATACTGAAAGATTTTGAACACCGCTGAGCTAGCAGAAACGCATTCGCACTCTTCTGCAGCTCCCAAAAATCTGAATCTGTCACTTTGTTTACAATAACCAAGCAATCATTCTCTTTATTTACAATATCCTAGTAATCATTCTCTTTTATTAATTATAAATCAATATTTACAATTTCCTAGCAACTATCCTCTTTTATAAACTTCGCAAATCAATATATCGATCCGTTCTATCAGCTGTTAAACGCAATACCGGGCGACAAAAAATCAAAACGGCGAGAACGCAACACTAACACAAAATCAACGACCTCTGGGTCAGCATGAATTAGTCTTCGAAATATCTTCCATTTAGCTGAAAGGATTCCAAAAGTATTTTCTATTGTTCTTCTGGCCTGTGTCAGTCGATAGTTGAAAATTCGTTTCTGATCATCTAAAAACTTATCTGGATAAGGTCGTATTACGTTGGTAGACATTTGGAAGGCTTCGTCGCCAACAAAATAACAAGGTGTTTTCTTATCACTTCTTGAGAGCCGAGCTGTTCCTCTTGGCAAACGTACCTCCGTACAATGCTTTTCTAAAGGCAGATCTCAAAAGAATTCCTCCATTGCTATCGCACCTACATCGAACAACGTAAATCTATATCTGGCATCACTAACGGCCATCAGTACAAGGCTGAATGTCTTCTTGTAATTGAAGTAGATCCTGAGTTCGGAGGTGCCTGAATCGTTATGTGCTTGCCATCGATCGCTCCAACACAATTTGGCAAATTCCACAATGCTAAAAAGTCTGCATAGATCTTTTCCCATTCAACTTTTGTGAGAGATTTGAAATAGATTGGCATTAAAACATTTACTAGAACGGAGCATGTTTCTTTTACAATCATATGAACATATCAGTGGACTTACCGACTCTGTAAGCTAGAGCCACAAACAGCATTTGATCTCCGGTTGCTAAATATCTGTAACAAAATTAATAAATTATTAGCTAATTATTAGCTTGTTAAAACGTAAGTAATAAATTTAATGTAGTCTTACTAATCTAATTAACTTAATCAGTTCAGTGGTAGACTTTTCCGAAGAGTTTGTGCCAAAAGTGGTAAGAGTAAAAAGTTAAAATATCGAAAAACAGTGAAACACGGGTTCAAAGTTTTCAAAAAAACTACTTTTCGGAATGGGTATGGATCGTCCCTCACGCCCTGGGGGGAGGAGGAGAGTAGAATAGAAGTGGAAAATATTAAATGGCACTATAAGTCGAGTGAAAACTCATTTAAAAGGGCTTTCCAAGACGAGAACAATAATTTTTGAAAATATTTATTACGACCTTCCAATAAAAAGTTATGATCGTGTAAACCAAAATGTTAGGGATTGTTAAAATATTTAACCAGCTAATGATAGAGGTGAAAAAGAATTCTTTATTTCGAAATTTCAAAAAAGCCTTTGTGTACCAAGTACTATGCAAATATGTTAGAAATTATTGGTTTATTATTATAATTATTTAAACAATTAATAGTCGCCATATTGAATCTGCCATTTTGAATTTTGCAATTTTGACATCAGATTTGAATTCAGTAGCCCAAAAAACCTTACGATATCAAATTTTATGCAAATCTGTTGGAAATTATTGGAGTTATTTAAAAATATACATATATGATACATTACCACTCAACTGGTTAATTAACTAATCTAACTACTTGAAATGAAAATGTTTTACTTCAATGTTATTGCGAGGCGCTATTTTGGACATATCAATGGTCTTATACTCCTTTTTTCCAAATGCAATCCTACCAGTCGAAGCAGTTCATAAAATGTAGACACATCCATTCTTGTGTACCGGAAGAAGAGATCCGGGTCTTCTTTCAACTCCAAAAACAGGGTTAGAAAGTCGCCATACTCTTAGTACGTCTCTCATTTGTGGGACGTACCCATCACCGTTGGTTTCTCCAACGCTTGCTTTTTTGTGCCTTCCATACAGTGTACAATTTTAGCACAGCCACTTGCATTATGCAGATAAATGCTAATTCTTCATCTTCCATCTTATCTAAAAATAATTTGCGTGAAAATATAATGCGTAGAACAATATACGTATACGTTCTCTGTAATATTTCACTTGAAACACTATAAAACATATTTACCAAAATCTGCTCATAAAACCATGTTGCAAAAGTACTCAGTCGAAGGCGAATTCCAACGTTTTGATACGAAATATTGGTCTATTAACAAACAGTCCTTTTGACACTTTTAGGTTATGTTTACCCGAAGAAGATGGAAGAATAGACTACAGTCTATATGCGATTTGATTGGTTGGTCTTTATTTCTAGCGCGCGCGTGCGCTATTCAGTATAAGGTATTGCCGCCTTTTCGACGAATTATCTCAAGCAGTCTATTTCTCATATTAATACATCTACTAATTTCGTGTTGAGGAATTTTCTGCCAAATCTCTTGGAGAATCCTTTCAAGTTCTGCTAATGTCGTTGGCTGCCTTGGATGACTTCCCAACTGACGATCCATATGTGTCCCAATACTAATTATATACAGGTGTTCAAAGGGTTAAGGTTGGAGCACAGACTTTTACATAAGGCATAAAGCATAACGCATAAGGGAATTAACCAATCAGAGATCCGCAGAATGAAAAGTGGGGATAGAAATAAAGGACTCTGATTGATTGATTCTCTTATGCGTTATGTCGTATGCCTTACGTAAAAGTCTGTGCTCCGGCCTTTAACTTGCGTGACATTAGAAGTATAAAATACATCACTATTCTCAATTCAGGAGCCTAGTTGTGACTCATACGATAAAATATACAAAACCACGTATAATCGACAATCTCTGTCTTGTTATAGTGAGAATTAATAATAAAGTTCCATAATAATCAGTCTAGTAACTAAAGGGTTACTGGATTTCAGATCAGTATGGCTAGTTCGGTATATCTCCACTCGTTCTGACATTTTAGTTTGTATGCCGTGAGTCTGGCAATGTTGGCAATGATTGTTTTATCCAGGGGGGGGGGAGGGT